CGGGGCCCCCGCGGTTCCTGTGTCTCAGCACTCGCTGGGGGCGTTGCTTGGCAGCGAGGATCTGGGGAGGCCGGCTGGGACCCGCCGGGCCCGCGCCTGGCCCCGTCCCCACGCTGGCTGAGCCGCCCTGACGGGGACAGAGGCTGCGGGCGTTTGGCGTGGAGGGGCCTTGCCGGGCCCTGCTGATCGCCCTTCCCCCGCAGGATGAGCTGACTGCTCTGAACGTCAAGCAAGGCTTCAATAACCAGCCGGCGGTCTCTGGGGATGAGCACGGCAGTGCCAAAAATGTGAATTTCAACCCAGCGAAGGTGAGAGCCCTCGGGACAGTGTGGGGGTTTGGCAGGGCCTGGTGTCTGTATCGGCAAGCTGCTGGGTCCTGGGCAGTCCTGGGTCTTGTTCCTTCCCCGTGTCCAGAACCAGGAGACCCTTCCCTTTAGGATGGGTGTTTTAGGACCTAACCCTCTGTCCCTGTAGAATCTAAGTTCTACATTCTTTTGGAACTGTGTCCCACCTCTGGGAGAGCAGGTTCTTGTCTTGCTCCATAGATCTTAGGGGCAGGTCTGTATCTGCAGTCTCTGTTAAACCAGCATCTAGAACTCCTTATATTCTGCAGTTAAAGCAGAAGGCTAGGGTACCAGAAGCAGGAAAGTTCTTACTGGTTTGGTTATATTATAGCCATGGTAGAAGAGAAGTAAGATTTCTTGAAACATGTGGCAATTTAAACATGGGAGTTATATAACAAGCTTCAGCTCCATTTTTCCAATCTCTAAAATCAAGATGTTAACTTCCTGGCCTCCCCAACAAGAGGACTAGTAATGACCTGGGATGGAAGGCGATCAATAAGCATAGTATATTTGTTTTCCTTGGCTGACGTCTGTCTGTCCAAGAAGCCTTCTGTCTGGTTTGACAAGTATTTATAAAGAGTTGGGTCTGTCTCAACTTGAGTCCCTGCTTGGTTATTATATGAGTTGCCTAGAAGCATTCCTCTTTGCAAGTATAACAGTATAACAAAGGAAATTATTGGCAGTTTTTTTGTGTTTCAGAAGTTGATACTGGTGAGGCTTCTGGTAGGAATGATAAATGAGATTTTAAGCACATAGAGTAGATCTTTGACTTGTGAAATGTAATTTATCCTTTTTTTCTTTTTTTTCCAGATCAGTTCAAATTTTAGCAGTATTATTGCAGAAAAGCTGCGGTGCAATACACTGCCTGACACGGGAAGACGGAAACCCCAGGTGAACCAGAAGGATAACTTTTGGCTGGTGACTGCACGTTCTCAGAGTGCCATAAACAACTGGTTCACAGATCTGGCTGGAACCAAGCCTCTCACTCATCTCGCTAAAAAGGTATATTACAGGAGAGGCTGCCTGGCACGGCACAGCATTTAATCTATGCTTGTTTCTGTAGTGTTTGTATAGTAGAAGGTTTTTACTATTTGGAGAAGTTTCTTCTCTCTACATCTCTTGAAGCTTTCAGCTTGAAGAGCGTATCCAGGATTTGTAGTGCACTGGCTGTAGTCGTCCCCGCTCAAAGAACTGGTCCCTTGTCTGTTGTTTGGAGGTTGTGTTCAGCTTTGCCTTTTGGCTTGTATGATACAACTGATTTATTTTAAGGTTTGGATGTTTTTCAGAAGAGCTGCCACTGTTGCCTTTGGCCTGTTGTTTAGATTAGGACCATTCCTATTGTTTGGTGGGTTTTTTTGAGAACTTTTCAAGTTCTCAAAAGTCATAGTGAGAATTACTGGAAATAATCAGCTGAGTGACTTCCCAGAATTCTGTTGCAGTGACACATGTTTCTGGTTTTAAGCTGAGAAGAGTATGTATATTATAGCTTGGTCTCAGCCAGGCTAGAGCATTTCATATCTAGGGCTAGATATTTCCCTGGTAGCATTGAATTCTGTAGAGTATGAAAGAAGAAAGAAGGATCTTACTCTGCCATTTTACCAGGCCTGATAGCAGGGGGAGCTAACGCTCTATGAGGGTGAGCCTATAAAAAAGGAACTCAGGAATCTAGTATGTATTGTGGAAAAACATAACCTCCAGTTGCGAAATGGTAGCAGAGCACGTAGTTTAGAAGCTGGAGTTCGTCTGGTCCTTGGTGTTCTGAGTCAGTCTTGGGGGAAAATAATCAGATTTTCCCAGAATCTGTCTAAATAATAAACTTAGTCCTTGTGTCCTTCTTTGCATGTTGGCTGTCAGTTTCCTGAGGTCATTGTGAAAGCTTGAACGTTTCAAGGCCTTCCCCAGTTTCCTGCATCAGTTTTCATGGACTTAGGCATGAAAGAAGTGACTGTCGGCAGCCAAGTAGTCTGTGTCTTTGAGGCATCAGAGAATAATTGGGAAGAATGTAAGAAACATAGCAAGTAAGCAATTGAACTGTTGGTAGTTCAGGGACTTTGAGATACCTACCAAATGGACCTGTTCTCTGTGAATTTGTCTCATTCCTCTGTGAACACACGTGTACTTTCGCTCTCCATAGTATCCTGTGGAAATGAGCCCCACAGCTGGACTTTTTCCTCTGATGTGTTACTGCTTCCTGGTTTATAGATCTGCAGTCTGATGATTTCACTGGTATCTTCCCATGTTGCATCGTGAATTTTGAATCTTGGATTAATGAATTCCTTCCTACTATGGTACTCAAGTCCACGTTTCTCACAGTCTTCTGTTGGCTTGATATTACAAGACTTCTGTAACTGCTCTGTTTTGTTTACAAAATGAAGAGTCCTACCTTCAGTCCTTAGTCTGTACCTTTTGCAGTTGTTTATATCCTCTCTGGAGGATATCCTCAAAGCTGTTTGCAGGATTCAGGGCATGGATTTACAGTGATATAACTATGTTTTCTGTCTTCTTTCAATTTGTTTTGTTTCTGTTTATACTGAAATGCAGCTCTGGTACTGTTGCTTTCTGACCGGAGGTGAATTCTTGCAGTAGATTTTTTGAGATACAGAGCAACGCAATACCTTTTCCCTTTTTGCCTTTTTCACAGCTGCAGCACCTACAGCATGTGTAGTTGCTTTGGAATAGTTCCCATCTAAGTCCTTGGTTGCAATTCTCCCTCTCAATTCTGTTACAGGTGCCTATCTTTAGCAAGAAGGAAGAGGTCTTTGGTTATTTGGCAAAATACACTGTTCCAGTAATGAGAGCAGCCTGGCTCATCAAAATGACTTGTGCCTATTATGCTGCCATCACAGAAACCAAGGTGAAAAAGCGTCATGTCATTGATCCCTTCATTGGTAAGCACTTTGTGTGGAGCACTGGTTTTGTCCATCCCAGATGTTTCCTTCTCAGCCTGCTCTTGAATAGTAAGAGGTAGCCTGGAAATCCATGTAAAGTTA